TGAAGCCTAGCGGCACACTTGGTCCAGTTCATGAATGATCAAAAGTTCTCAAACGCAATTGCTGCATGCACTCAAAAAAAAAACTCCGAGATGCATTTTCAGTTCCATAGTGCAGTTGCTGTGTAAGATAATAGTCAAAAACTTGTAAGCATTATGGATATGAGAATTGTGGCGGAAGCTACCCTCGAAATAGCAAGGCAATTGTTTTCAGTTGACGCGAAAAACTGACGTACTGCTGGAATCGCTATGTACGGATCTCATGATGAACGATTTAGCTGCCGTCGAATCAGAGAAAAGTAATCTGGAGGAAAAAGTCTCAGCCATGGGTAAGTGCCTACTGAGTACTCCATTATTCGAGCTACATACATTAATTGGAATAGAACTTCTTGGACATGGGAAAGGCTAAGAGTGATAAAAAAATCCCGAAGGTTAATTCATGGTAAGCCAAAAGTATAGACTAGGTTCAAGTCCTCGGTCTCTAGGAAAAACGACTTGAACTGTTTAACGGTTGATTTTTGGACGGAAGACTGGACTTCCTGAAACATCATTAAGTATTGCTTCACTTACTTATAGAGGCACTATCAGGGAGTAACTTATCTCGCTTCTGACCTGTTGTTGTTTATTCTTTGTTTTGTGTTGAATCCTTCCCAAATTTCGATTACGAAATGTGTGTTCAAGAAAAATTTGATCGAGGAAGGGGAATATGCATAGACGAAAGGCAGGTGGGATCCTGAAGGGTGCGAGACGATGCGCGTTTTGCAATTGAATGATAGCGGCAGCGGCCGAGCAGGGCCACACCCGCTGCACCGTACCGCTGCCCGCCCACCCTCTCGCCGTCTGATCCTAGCCGTTTAGCAGAGAGAGCGTTAGAGTTGAAGAGGGCAGCATCGATGAGAGTCGCATCAATGCGGAAATCAACGGGCAAGGAAGGGGTCCCATTTCTCGGGTTCTGGGCCGTTTCTCATGGTTTTTCTTCATCCCTGCACCACTGACCACCTTAGGTTCTTTTAATGAGCCAACATGCTACATGATACATAATTCTGACGAAGGCTGCACTTTCCGATTTTGTGAACTCCGACTTTGAAAAGAGAAATGAAAAAAAGGTCTTAGAAACTTGCCTAAAAAATTTACAAGCACCAACGAACGTTAGAATAGTGGATGGACCTCTAGGTCAACGGATGGAATCGGTCTCAATCACTCGAAATACTCACTCGAGCACTATCGCAAGATACGGGGCATTGTGGTGGCAATGCATTTCAAACCGCGTCACGCATCACCTTTCTGTCAAAAATGGGACTAAGTCTCAGTGGAGAATAAGAGGGGTTGCGTGCAATTTCTTCTACTTCCCCCCATGTTGCTTCACCCTCCTGGGCTTGGTTATTAAAGGATGCCCCATATCTTGCAATAGCGCCCGCACTCGATCATTAGAGAAATTGTTGATGAAATCCGGGCCGTAGGAGGTGATATGCGAAAATCAGGGTCTATATTTTATCTCTCGGCCTCCAGAAGAATTCTTTGAATTGTCTTTGATCCATTGTGCTTTTTGACCAACTTATAGTAGTCATTCCAGTTAACCCTTAACATGGACAAAATTCTGCCGATTTTGTACGGTTGTGCATCACCAACGAGTGGAGCGGGGGTACGTTTTTCCCACCTCTCATCAAAGCCTTACTTATTAGAAAATTTTGCAGAAAGTTACCACCATCCAGCTGGATCGAATTCTCATCGGCTGCAACCAGCTATTGCGTGGAACTGGCGCATGGAGAAGTCATGCAGCTCTGTTAGAAAATATTAGCGTGCTAAAAACGTGCTTACCGTACACCCAGCTGGCTGACACCTTTATTCCAGTTTTGCAGAAGGAAGTCCTGCAAGCTGTACGTTTCTTATAATGAACGTTATGAAGGTTTTTCTCATTGTTTTTCCAATTTCCAGCGAGCTATTCCTTGCCGAGTGGCTGCCGTCAACACATTGCTCCTGTTCATGCGAGAGCAGCCAGACAAGAAGAAGCGTGAAGAGATCATCGAATTCTTCAATATAGGTCAGCAAAAATAATTGGTAGCTCATAAGGGCAAATGAAGAGCGCTCGGCTCTGGTTGATCCATTTTGGAATGCGCCATGCCTCTTACTACCGTTCGCAATCTTGGTGACACTTGTGTGTGATTTGGCTTTACACTTGACTTGCGAAGTCGGTCGTTATACAACTCTGCAGTTTCTCAAATACGTATGTTGCCAATAAACCTATCCTGAAGGGATGAAAAGCTTGGTTGGCCTGGACGAAAGTCTACCCAGATATGACCTCCTGGCCGTGCGTGTGGTAATTGGCGACACTTGGCACTACACCACCTTCTACTAGATCCAATAAGCGATTAAGATCAAGGTTCTGCTATGATGATTCTAAGGATCTAACGCGATCTAGAATTAATATTAATTACGCACAAATGAGCATTTTCTGAGGAACTCAGCTGTAATATTCGTCGACGCTTCTGCAACACTTGCGGAAGGATCAGATGCCTAACTATGATATGGGCAGGCAGGATTCAGGATTTTTTTTCTCAGATAATTATGGGACACTTATCCGATCATAATTGCATGTAGCCGATTCGATGACTATGCGTTCAAATCCTAGCCACCTTCTACCACTGTAGCTGCCCTGGTAGGTTAGCTACGCGAAGCGAATGGCCAGACGTACTCGGCTGTGTCATTACTTGTACAGCCACGGCGTCATGAGAGGCGAAAACAGAAGATCGGAGGTAAAGCGGCAAATAGAACTTGCAGCTTAATTGCGGCAGTGTGTCGGTCTCCCGCCCTTGGATAAAGGATAAAAAATAAAGCATTTGCCGTTGATCAATCCCTTTTTGGGATGCGGCACGCATTCTACTTCCATTTGTACATTCGTAGTGGCGTTTGAATGCGATGTGGCCTATACAATGACTTGCGGGGGCCAGCCGATGTACAAGTCAGTGTTTTTATCCTCCCAGACAAGTCTGGTACCAATTAACCGACCCCGGAAGGCTGTTGGCTTGGGCGACTCACGACCCAGGATTTGATCCCTTCGCAAAGGAAAACCCTCCGCATCGCGTGTAGCGCTGTGTACTTTGCGCCACTAAACCAGCTTCAACTGATGCTGCATATGCACGGCACTAATATAACTTGAATTTTTGGATATCGGTAAAAGGTCATTTGAGTTAGTACCCCCATTTCAGAAGTAGCTGGACATCAGTGCTGTTATCGTCGATTGCTGTATTTGGACGTAGTGGAATGTGTATTGAAGATATTTAGTCGAAAATTTTTCATAAAGTATTTCCTAGAGAGAATGCTGTCACTTATCCAAGATAATGTCTCAAACGTCAGGTGGGTTCATTTTTGAACTCATCTTTTTTCTTTGGTTCTTTCAAAATCCCATGGAAACTCATCCACTGTGCGTTTACGCTATAAAAATCCTACGGAAAGAAGAATCACGCATTGCTTCATATCCATCTGAGGAAGGCAACTATTATGCATACAACTGGTTACGAAGGTTCACAGCAATAGATTTTCCTCGGCAGGGAGGAGGGGGTACTCAATTTCGGCTTTTCCTTTTCTCAAGGTGTAAGAGCTAAGGCCTTGTTGCTTCCCTAAAACCTGCTGTAGCTATAATCAGCGCAAACATCTTGGCAGTGGGTGTATGCGCTCGTTTGTCGCTATGCTCTCTCGTCTGTTATCTCTCCTTAGCACTCTCTATCTCATCGTCATAGCTCTACTTCCTTATGAAAAAAGGTGCTTATTAGTGATAGTGACCATTCCTGTGCAAAACCATCACATTTCACAATATACAATGCATTTTTGTGTCTTAAAAGCTTGTCTCAGTAGCGCAGAAGCTCGATTTTCAAGTTTGCCTTTATAAAATATTTGAATACCTCTCAGAAACGTAGTGGTACCTATCACGGAGTTATTAAGGTGGCTGTCTGAACCTATTCCGGGATGAGAAGGGATTCCACCCAGAGGTGTTCCAAAACGTATTTCAAGTCACCGAAAGAATGAAGTGACCGAAATGATCAAATGAGGTTCTACCAAGATAATCAGATTGCTTTAGACTTCGAACGATTAGGCTAATGCCATTTGTAAAGAAGTATCTTATTTTGCCGGACGACGAAGAGGTTCTTCTGTCATTGGAAAAAGCTGTTAGAGAGACTCTAACCACAGAGAAGCAGCCCAACACGCGACAACTAGTCCAGACAGTAAGTTACACACTCATGTTCTCGCCTTACCCACGTCAGAATTTCTTCTTGGAGGATAAGCTCAAATCGGACTACCATCCGAGAAGGATGTCTGTCAAACCAGGCTTGCTTCAGATCCGGTTAGGACCAGATGTAGTGCTCTGCTTTTTAGGCAGCATGCGAACTCTCACGGACAGAGGCAAGAACGAAAGATGACAAGGAGGACGCAGCACGCGAAAAAGAGGAAAAGCGTCTCTGGAGCAAAGACAGACTCATACAAAATGCAACTCCCAAAAAGGAAGAGTCGCCAAGTCCGAACAAGAGCGGAAAGAATCTCTCTCTGCCAAAGTAAGTGAAATTCATCTTCAACGTTGACAAAAGGCGTTCCATTCATATTTTATACTATTCAGATCGCCAGACTCTCGCAATACTTCTCCATGGAGGACACAACGACGCGCTGTTGCCGTAGTTCGACCGCAGCCGGTTGTAGTCATGAGGTGATCCGGTAGTTTTACGCTTTTGTCCGGAAGAGACCCTGGTGCTGTAGTAAATTTTTTTGCTTCAGATCTGCAAGTCCAGTGCCGAAACTTTCCGATACAAATGGTCGACCAAGCCGTTTACCGCTCAGTACCGCTAGCAGAGAGAAGGAGGCGTTGAAGAAAGGTATGTAGGTGTTTCTAAGAGGAAGGATAGTGATGAAGCACTAGGCGTTGATTATGATCATTTATGGGATACGCCACGATCTCCACAATATGTGCGGAGTGTGTGGTGGGCAAAATATGAATTGTTGTTGCTGTTACCAATGACCTTGGGGGGCACTCAATGTACCAGTTTAGCTTGTTATCTTCCTGAGCAAGTCTGGTACCATCCATAAGACCCCGGAGAGGTGGGAATTTCGTTGACCTAAACAAGGTAGATTAAGGATTTGATCCCTGAGCCGTGTACGTGGTGAGCAGCGTCACTTGCCACTCACACCACTTTGCATTTTTAAAACTCAGCGGTTGGAGACCCGTTCTTGAAAATTTTGAACACTCGTGAGATAAGAATTAAAACATAAGTTTCAGCAGCTTCGAGCTTGGATTCACAACTGCCACGGCCGCCTTCTCGAACAGCGTCGGCTCGAAATATCATGAGCACATCAACTTCTTCACTAGAACATGCTTCAAAGTCGTCTTGAGGCAGTTTTCTGGGCTGTTCTTACAGGGAAGTCTTCAGTTTAACTAATTGTGACTGTAATGTCATACGTGACCAAGGAATGGAGAGAGATTGACTTCTGTGGGTGGTAAACTATAAAATGAATGCACTTTCCAGGGTCCAACTCTTTCGGACTGCGTAGATCCGCCACGACGTCTGCGTTTGGAAACGGATCGACATCAACTTCATCGTTCTCACTTTCACAATCCAGGTAATTTCACACAACTTACAAGCCAAAAAATTGGACTTCAACAGGTTGGGACGCGCGCGGTTGCTGCGCGATTGGTTAATGCATTACTTTTCAAGTTATGTCCAACGAAACACTAAATTATAGTCAGGATCACTGTACTACAGTAACCGCGGCGACATGGTAAACGGTGTATTTCCTTCTTAATATTATTTATTACATCAATTCAGGTCATCATCTAACATTCGTCGACCGTCTTATGGTTTGTCACGCGTTTCCAGTCATAGCACATTGGAAAGGAAGCCCGGACATTTATCGATGAAAGTTCGATCCACAGACTCCTAGTTCGTCTTATAAAAATTTCGTTTCTTGATTTTCAACGCTTCTTTTCTCCAACCAGGGTGTCTTATGTGCTCAACGTTTTTCTCTCAAGAATTGAAATCGTGGTCAACAACCTTGCCTTTTTGTAGTGCATTTCCCAACGTGAGAATGAAAAATCTCATCGACTCTGTTCATCAGATTCCAGCCTTACTACTATCAATAATCTCCTTAGACTAAACAGATTTTTGAGAGAGCTGTCCCGTAGGGTCACTTCGTCATTGTCGCTAACTTGGCACTTAACTTCTCCTGCTTGGTCTTTCCCTGTTTTATGTTTTGCATGTTCTTTCCTGTTGTAATACTTCTATTAGCAATATTATGTACGTCTCATTGTAATTCCAGTGTCGCGACGCGACCGCGCGCGACGGATTTTGCGAGTCTTGGCTGGCCTCACGTTGGGAGATGGAGTGAATATGTTCGCTAGCTGAAGCTTGTTAAAAAAATTGTTGTATGTTCACTTGATTACATCAATTTGATGATCAAAATTCGAGCAAGAACATATTTTATATGGAATATTCTGGATATACTAGCAATATGAAGGTAGTTATTTGTCTTCCACAGTTTAACAGATTCAATTGTTTTGACCTCTATGAAGCTTTACAGAGTTACTATTTGTTTACCATCTCATTCTTCCAATTAAACGTGTCTTGAGTGCCTTCTCGTGTAAGTACTTGTTCATATCGTTTTCTTTTTTTGAAATACAATAAATCGTTACAAAGCTTTGTTTATGCAACACAAACACCTACACAAACAGATCCCCTCTAGGTAACTTTTAGATGACAATATGTTCACTCAGTCCCGAAAAGTGCTCCTGGTGGTTCAGTGCTGCTTGTGTTCATTACATGACGAGCAAGCACAATTCGCCAGTAGGCGGAAGAACATAAAAGACAAGGAAACACGGCGAAGGTACAACGACAATAATATGAAACAACAGCAAGCAATAGAAGGATGATATGAGCGACTATTTGAAAAATTACATGAGAACGAGTAGTGCGTGAGTCAAATGCGAGCCACACTGTCCCGCCAGGCGCTTTTCTGGACTGCTCGCGCACTGTCGCTAAGGTGGTGTCAAAATGGAGTTGGAGAATTTTTACAAAGCGAAGCGACACAAGCTCACCTTGGTTTCAAAAACTTGCCTTGTAGGACGACGTGGTACAAATGTGAATCACACTGGCAG